AAAAAATGTTTTAATTGACACCTAAAGCTTTTTGGATGAGAATTTTTCATTGTGGAAATATTTTTTTGTTGTTGTTATTTTTTGGTACTGGGGATTGAACCCAGGGACGTTTACCACTGAGCTATATCCCCAGATGTTTTTATTTTTTATTTTGAGATAGCATCTAAGTTGCTTTTTAAAAAATTTTATTAGAATCTTCAGGCTGGAGATGTAGTATAGTGATAGAGCGCTTGCATGAAGCTCTMGGTTTGATCCCTAGCACCACAGAAAATATTTATTCATATTTTCAATATTGTAGATTTGTTCATCATTTCATTATTTTCTGTCCATTATTTAATTTTTTCTACTTTGCAAGGAGGGAGGTTGCTGTATTTCTAACTTATTGAGATAGATGATTAGTTCATTGATCTTTAACTTTTTATAATATATGCATTTAAAGTTATCCCTTCCTTCCTTCCTTCTTTTCTTCCTTCCTTCCTTTCTTTTTCTTTTCCTCCCTCCCTTCCTTCCTTCCTTCTTTTCTTCCTTCCTTCCTTTCTTTTTCTTTTCCTTCCTTCCTTCCTTCCTTCCTTCCTTCCTTCCTCCCTCCCTCCCTCCCTCCCTCCCTCTCTCCCTCCCCCCACTTCTTTTTTTTTTATCAATCAATCAAAACCACCCTAAGATACCATCTCACTCCAGTAAGATTGGCAGCCATTATGAACTTAAACAACAAGTGCTGGCGAGGATGTGGGGAAAAGGGTACACTTGTACATTGCTGGTGGGGCTGCAAATTGGTGCGGCCAATTTGGAAAGCAGTATGGAGATTCCTGGGAAAGCTGGGAATGGAACCACCATTTGACCCAGCTATTCCCCTTCTTGGACTCTTCCCTAAAGACCTTAAAAGAGCATACTATAGGGATACTGCTACAACGATGTTCATAGCAGCACAGTTCACAATAGCTAGACTGTGGAACCAACCTAGATGCCCTTCAATCGATGAATGGATAAAAAAAATGTGGCATTTATACACAATGGAGTATTATTCTGCACTAAAAAATGACAAAATCATGGAATTTGCAGGGAAATGGATGGCACTAGAGCAGATTATGCTAAGTGAAGCTAGCCAATCCCTAAAAAACAAATGCCAAATGTCATCTTTGATGTAAGGAGAGCAACTAAGAACAGAGCAGGGAGGAAGAGCATGAGAAGAAGATCACCATTAAACAGGGAAGAGAGGGGGGAGGGAAAGAGAGAGAGAAGGCAAATTGCATGGTAAAGGAAGGAGACCCTCATTGTTATACAAAATTACATATAAGAGGAAGTGAGGGGAAAGGGGGAAAAATCAAAAGAGAGAAATGAATTACAGTAGATGGGGTAGAGAGAGAAGATGGGAGGAGAGGGGAGGGGAGGGGAGGGGTGATAGTAGAGGATAGGAAGGGCAGCAGAATACAACATACACTAGTATGGCAGTATGTAAAAAAGTGGATGTGTAACCAATGTGAACCTGCAATATGTATATGGGGTAAAAATGGGAGTTCATAATCCACTTGAATCAAATGTATGAAATATGATATGTCAAGAGCTTTGTAATGTTTTGAACAACTAATAATAAAAAAAATTAAACAAAAAAAGATTGAACCTAGGGGCACTTAACCACTGAGCCATGTTCCAACCCTTTTTCTTTTTTAAGACAGGATCTTGCTAAGTTGCTGAGTATTTTAGTCAGTTATTTTTTTCTGCTGWGACTAAATGACCTGACAATTTTAGAGGAGGAAAAGTTTATTTGAGGGCTCACAGTTTCAGAAGTTTCAGTCCACAGATAGCTAGATCCATTCTTCAAGGCTCGAGGTGAGTGAGAATATCAAGGTGGAAGAGTGGTGGAGGAAAGTGTCTCACATGATGATCAGAAAGCATAGAGACTCCACTTGCCAGATGCAAAATATATATCCCAAAGGTATCCCCCTAATGACTCACCACCTCCAACTACACCTTACCCGCCCGTTAGTCATCCTCAGTTAATCCTATCAGGGATTAATTCACCTCTCTCGAAACCCAATCATTTCTCCTCTTAACTTTCTTGCATTGTCTGATACATGAGCTTTTGGAGGACATCTCACATCCAAACCAAAACACTGAGGCTGACTTTGAACTTGTAATACTCCTGCATTAACCTCCTGAGCAGCTAGGATTACAGGTGTATATACTACCACACCCACCTTATATAAGTCTTCCTAATCTTATCTCTACTTGAATTCTACATTCAGCTCAAAATTTTTCTTAATTTTTATTTTGACTTTTCCTTTGATTTTTGAATTATAACAGTTATTTTATTTCTCTTTGGGGAATTTTAAATTTTATATTATTAACTTTTAGTTTAATTGCCAGTGGTCAGATAGCATACCATGCATGATTTCAACACTTTCAATATATTGAAACTTGCTTTCTGGATAAGTTTAAAACCAAATTTTGTTGTTGTTATAGTTGCATTTAGAAAGAATTTTGTTCTGCAATCATTGGTACAGTTAATCCTGTTATTCATATGTGTATTTTTATTCACTTTTTTCATCTTTTTGTTATGTCATTAGAGAGTGATGTTAAAGTTTCCCACTGTGGGTTGGGGATGTGGCTCAAGCGGTAGCGC